TATCCCAATAATACCCCAAGAAGGCCAACAAATATCAAAAAAATAGTCCCCAGACTATTTTTGGATTATTTTTTGCTGATTTTGGAGCATTTTTTATGTTTCGTCGAAAATACCCCTGTAGGGGGACAGGCCCGACTTAATAGTAGTCCAGCCAAGGCTACCAGGGGAGGCTGTCTGTGCTCAGACCCCGAAGCGTTGCCAGCTTACAACACTCAACACGGCTCGAATGGATTTGAGGACGCTTCGCTTCGTGCCTCGGGGCACGGTATCAGTGGCCATCACGAGTTGAAAGTATTCGACCCCACCCTCAGCCCAAAGTACCCGCCCTCATCCAAAGCGACGACATGCGCAAAACTTGTCGAGTATGCGCAGAGGAGCTACAGGCCTCATGTGACGAAAGTGATCAGAGATCTCTCTCGCTCACACACACACACACTCTCCAGCCCATGGGGCGGACGGATCTTCCGAGTTCACCGAACGCCCCCTGGCGGGATCGCCGCCCCACGGTTCCACGTTTCTCGCGCATAGTCACCGCACTCCAATAGAGGGCGTGGCACTGTGAACGCACATGGTGCGGCACACATTGAATACTCCTCCGCATCTTGACATGCTCCAGCACCCTTCCAGGGGCATGTTTGGGACACTTTCGAGGAGTGTGCTGGCATCCAGCGGGCCTGTTATGGGCATTTCTGGGGCGTCTCGTGGAGTTTTGGAGTCGCACCGCGAGGGAACGAGGCGGAAAGTGTGGTAATGGGCAAGAGAAGGACAGGACGGCACCCTGCGATGGCCTTGGGGTTAAGTCGGGCGTGTCCCGCTACAGGAGGAATATCCCAAAATAGTCAAAAGACAATCAGGGGACGATGGTTCGACTATGTTTGACAATATTTGAGCATTTTTTGGCTGTGTTTCATCTTTCGCCTAAAATCCGCCTGTGGGGGGACGCGCCCGACCTGATGTTAAGTCGGGCCTATCCCTCTACAGGGGGAATATTCAAACATAGTTTTTTTAGTAGTCTGGGGACTATAGTTTTAGTATATTGGGGCATCTTTCGAGGTTTTGTTCGAAGTATTTTTTATTTGTCGTTCAAAATCCCCCTGCAGGGGGACAGGTACAGGTACAGCCTGCATGCCGGCTCCAGAGGAGCGGTCCCTCAAAGGGGCAGGCGGCGGCAAAGGACAGTGAAACGTGTCTTGGGTGAAAACTGCAGTACAGGTCGCTCACTTCTGGTAGAAGACGACAGACACGTGTTGGCACGTGGATTGCAACAGGAGACAGAAGACGAACGAGACAAGAGATAAACATTCACCCGAATAGGTATGCAGGGGAGCAGGCCCGACCTAAACCTAACGCCAGCCCCGCTGGGCCCCTCTGCCCCGCCGTGAGGCGGGCGGCGAAGTGCGGCACGGCACCGCTGCTCCGCCACCGGAGGGCCCCTGCCCTTAGGGCGGCTGGGCACGTTCCGCCTCCTCCTCCTCCTCCTCCTTTTCCTCTTCCTCCTCCTCCTCCCTCCTCCTCCTCCTCCTCCTCCTCCCTCCTCCTCCTCCTCCGCCTCCTCCCCTCCTCCTTCTCCTCCTCTCCGCCTCCACCTCCTCCTCCGCCTCCTCCCCCTCCTCCTCCTCCTCCTCCCCCTCCTCCTCCTCCTCCTCCTCCTCCTCCTCCTCCTCCTCCTCCTCCTCCTCCTCCCCTCCTCCCCTCTTCCTCCCCTTCCTCCTCCTCCCTCCTCCTCCTCCTCCCGCCTCCTCCTCCTCCTCCTCCTCCTCCTCCTCCTCCTCCTCCTCCTCCTCCTCCTCCTCCTCCTCCTCCTCCTCCTCCTCCTCCTCCTCCTCCTCCTCCTCCCCTCATCTGGGGCTCGAACATTTCGCCTTCGCTTCCGCCCCCAGAGTTTTTCGGATCATTCCCCACCAGTCTGCCATGCCTGCCATTTTTGCGAAGGAGCACCTCTCCTTCGTGATCTGCGGGCATGTCGACATCGGCGAGAGCACCACCACCGCCCGCCTCAACTACGACCTGGGCGGCCTTCCGCAACGCGATCTGGAGAAGCTCAAGGAGGAGGCCGTATGCCTAGTGCCAGGCCCCATCGCTTTCACGTTCTACATGGACCGTCAGAAGGAGGAGCACGAGTGCGGGGTGACCAGCGCCTGCACCACCCAAGACTTCTACACCGAGAAGTGGCACTACACAGTCGTCATCGGTGCCCCAGGCCATCGCAATATCAACAAGGTCGAAACCTGCAGAAGAAGGCTGCCAACATGGGCTGGTGGAAGGGCTGCAATGCCAAGTACGGCAAGGACTGCGCCACCCACAGATACAAACAGTTCCGCTATGCCGAACTCGGAAACACATGAAGTTCATGTTGGTCAAGGACGGGTGGTACAAGGACTTCGAAGAGAAGAAAACGCCTGCGATGCCAGTCTCCGGCCGGATGGGCGACTACCTGCTAACGAAGTCTAACAACATGGGCTTGTGGAAGGAATGCGTCGGCGAGTACGGCAAGGCCCGCGCCATGCAAAACATCGATCATAAGTCTGGATGGTTTTACCTTTCTCCGCTTGCCGCCTGAGGCAAGCCATGCTGCAATTAGGGCTCGCTCCTGGCCTTTGCATTCCGCTGCCCATTGGTGCACAAGAATCGTGGGAGAGGCCCGTGGGATTAGTCTTCCCCGCTCTCCATGATGAGCCGTGGTCTGCATTTGTGTTGCTTTGAAATTCTTGTCTTGTGCACTATTGCGGTGTGCGCCCGTGCAGTCGTCTTGTTTCTAAGTGGCACTGTGCTTAGGATGTGTTCCCAGTCGATCAAAGCTTGTAAAAGACAGACCGTAGAAGTCAGTAAATCAGGTTGCGAGCTTCCCAAAAGGGTGGTGCTCCCCTGAAAATCATGCACGGCAGCCCTGACAGAAGGGAGTGGCTCGGCGATTGGAGCTCCGCCGAGTCCTACGGCCCATCCCCACAGCGGGATCCCTGGCCGCGGGCGGCTAGTAGTCACCAGGCGAACGCCCCCTCCACCACGCGCTAATCCTCCTCCTCCCCTCCTCCTCCTCCTTTTCCTCTTCCTCCCCTTCTCCTCCTCCTCCTCCTCCGCCTCCTCCTCCTTAATGTTCTACTTCTCCTCCTCGTCGCGGGGGGATCCCCGGCGCCGGGAGAGCCAGCTCCGCGAGCGGATCTGCACGCCCGAAATGGGCACGGAAAGAATGGGTACAATGCCCAACAGCGGATCTTGTTCCTTTTGAAGAGGGCTCGCTGTCCGCGCCGCCGCGGCCGGCGTCCACGTGAGACAGAGGGCCACCTGCCCAACAGCGGCCGCTGTTGGTTTGGGACAACATTTGCTGTTGGGCATTGTACCTATTTTTCGGTACCCGTTTCGGGCGTCCAAATAGAGCTAATTCGGGCGTGCCCCTCCACAGGGGAAACATTTCGGAGGTGGAGAGACCTCCTACCCCGACGCGTCGATGAAGGAATTGGCCGTCTTCGGTTCGCGAGAGGGCGTCGCGGCCGTCATTTTTGCGGGTCCAGGTCCGTCGGTTTCGGTCCCAGGCCGTTTTCACTAAAGGGAGGCTTACTGAAGGGAGGTTTGTCCACCGCCGAATATTCGAAGATCAAGAAAAAGAACTAGTCTGGGGACGAATTCTTGATATGCTTGAACATTTGGGAGTATTGTTTGAGAATGTTTGTAATGTTCCACCCAAGATCCGCCTGTAGGGGGACATGCCCGACCTAGCCCTAGAGATATGCTGCTCCCATCGTACTTAAGGACCACATCCCAGAAATAGTGTCGAGCACCCAGGAGAGTATCGAAACAGTGTCGAGCAAGTATCGCCTCCCAGGGCTCGACCCGTGAAAACCCCCAAGTTTCGGCATTTCTTGATGCTCGAAATTCTTTCTGGTGGTCAAGGCTAAAGTAGGTTGGAACATCAAAGCCCTAGAGTGGCACGTGGGGGTGCAGGTTCTCCAGCCGTTTTGCGACAGGCGCCCCCGATGTCGGGAGAGTTCACGTGGTCCCGTGATTCGACCACTGGTTTCTGCGCAGGTGATCTCCGTATTCGCCGCTCGCCTCCACTGGCGTCTCGCTGTCGCCACCAGCCGCGAGCCCCTTGCCTGCTTGATCGAGGAAGGGCACGATTCCACCGTTGATTTTGTGCGCCATTAGACTTGCGCGTTTTGACCCTAGCTTTCGGGCCGCCCGTCTCGCGCGCGGCCTGGCGCACCAAGGCACCATTTTCTGGCTACCCACTGTCGGCGGCGAGCGAGTGGGGGAAGTGCAAAGGGGCGGGCCTTTTCAGAAGTCTCGGAAGTCCCCGGGCCTTCTGAGAAGTGTTCGAAGCCGTCCCCGAAGACAGGGAAAAGCTTCTCAGAAGGCGCGAGGGCTGCTGAGAAGTCCCGCCGCCTTCTGCGAAGGCCCTCTCCTTCTCACTTCCCCACCTCGCTCGCCACCAATACTGGACACTCCCCTTCTCCTCATTCACCCCTTCCACAAAAAGGCCAACACGCCGCTGGCCCGTCGGGGCTGCGAGCGCGCCCGCATCCTTAGCGTGTCCTCATCCTCCGTCCCGATCGTGTCCTCGTCCTCCGGTCCCCTTTACGTGCAGCCTTCCGAGACATATTTGTTGAGCACGCACCATTATCTGGATTATCTCATCATCCAGTTGCGCTGCCGCGCGATCCCGCCACCGCTCTGGGGCGGGCGCTTAGGGGGGGCTGCTTGGAGGTCTTTGGGGGCCTCTTTGGGGTCCTCTCGGAGCCTCTTGGGTCGTCCTTGAGCGCTCCTGGTCTGTCTTGCGCCTTCGGAGGCCGTCCCTGGGGTCTTTGTGGGCCGTCATTTGGGCTTTTGTGGTGCTTTAGCGCTGTATTGGATATATTCTTGGACCGCATTGAGGATCTATTGGGGCTGTCTCTGCACCTCGTCATCTGCATGGACTCAGACGGCGCACTCTGATGCTGAGCGCCGCGCGCTTCCCGCAGGAACCCATCGAGACTGTCTGCAAGCACCACGGCCAGGGCCCGTGACGCGGGAGTCCTGGGTTGGCACCGAATGCACTTCCTCTTGTCTCTTCCTCCCCTCCTCCTCCTCACTCCTCATTCCTCCTCCTCCTTCCTTCCTTTCTTCACTTTCCTTTAATAGCTCCTCTCTCGTCGCGCCCCAGGACGTGTCGTTAGGGCGGGCCGGGCGTTTTGCCCTGAGATTTCCTCACCTTTTTGATCCTTGAACTTCAATCTGCAAGAGTTTCACGGATGGAATACGGGCCGTTTTCGACATGTGATGATTGTCTTATGAGCTTGTTTTTTAGTCTGGGCGATAACGCTCGTGGTCGCCCCCACCCCTCCCCCCCCCGATCACGTCACGATGTTTTCCCCACATGTCTCAAGGAATCTTCCAGCGTTTCCAGATGATCTCAAGTGTTTTGGGTGTCCCAGGTTTGTTTTAACAAAAAGCTATGGGCTTTTTGTGATACTTTCGCTTCTTGGGCCATCCTGGAGGTCATCCGAGATCGCTCCGAAAAGATGCCTTACAAGAGCGCTTGGCCCATCCCATTTTCGCGAGGATGTCTCAGGCGAAACGCTCATTTTTGGAGGTCCACGAATTCGACCAACGATTTCAACATCCCCATTGTCCGAGGATGTCTCAGGCGAAACGCCCATGTTTAGCAAACGACGTTTTAAGATACGACCCCCAACTTCACGACTTGGCGAGGATGTCTCTTGCGAAACGCTCGTTTGTTGAACCTTCCCTGACATGGACGGGAAGCGCGTTGAAGGGAGGAGTTGCGCAAGAACTTGCAGCATTATCGCGATCAAATGTCATACAGGCGAGCTCCCCGAACGCTCACAAGGGATACGTATGGACACGCGCCCCCCGAACGTTCACAAGCATATTCCTGAGTATCCTCCCCACTCTTCCGCATGTGGAGGACGACGGCGAAGACGACGACTGGGGAAGAATGGAGAGGAGGAGGAGGAGGAGGAGGAGGGGAGGAGGAGAAGGAGCAGCAGCAGCAGCAGCAGAATCTCAAGTTGTTCCCACAAGTTCCTCCTCAATCCCCTCTTCCTCCTCTGCTCCCTCCCCCTTTTCCTTATCATCCTCCTTCCGAGGGCCTGGGGGCTCGAAAGAGGCCCCGGGATGCCGAAACCCGCCGTGATGTGATCGGGGGGGGGCCAACCCCCCTCCCCCACCCCCCCCGATCACGCCCGTTATCGCGGATAATGAAATAACAAGCTCCATCGCCGCGCGCGTTCGTCTTAACAGCTCGCAATAGTTTCGCGCATGGAGGGTGGGCGGTTTTCAAAATGCGGTTCTCCTCTTAGCGCCTCGCGGTTTCGATTTTATGTTTGCCAGAGTTTCACAGATCGAAGGCGGTCATTTTCATAACGTGGTTCTCGTTTCAGCGCCGCCTGCACTCGTGTAAAGAGGTTACAACAGTTTCAAGGAATCTTATGGTTGACGTCCCAGAAATAGTGTATAGAACTGTCAGGGCGCAACTGTCACGTTGAATCGCGGTGTTGAAGTTCCCCGGAATGGCGTCCTGGCGCGATTCTGGACCTTAAGGGTTCAACAGTCACGTTGATAAGCGGTTTCAAATTCCTGGGAATTGTGTGTTTGCACGGCTCAGGACTTTCAGACGGTTGTCTTCCAACGATATTGTTCTTTCAGTGTAGATATATAAATTGTTGTAGGGACTTGCGAAGAGGGAATTTGGAGGGAGGGTTTATTGCAACATCGTCGATCATTATTGGGCTTACATTGCTCCTTCTCCTCCTCTCTTTCCTCCTCCTCATCCTCTTCCTCCTCCTCCTCCTCCTCACTCATCATGGGGGTACCTGCCTGGTTTGCGCGCCCATTTGGCAGCGCGGACAGCTGTCCGAGCTGCCATGGCCGACAGCTGTCCGAGCTGCCGTGGATCCCCATAACTGTCGCAATGCGACGCCCAGAGGCACGAGAGAAGGCGACGCTTGCATATGCCCAGACCTCCGCGGGATCACTGAACTGCACTGAACTCACCCCCCGTCCACTTCCTCTTCCACCTCCCTCCATCTCCTCCTCCTCCTTCTCCTCCTCCTCCTCCCCCTCCTCCTCCTCCTCCTCCTCCTCCTCCTCCTCCTCCTCCTCCTCCTCCCCCTCCTCCTCCTCCTCCTCCTCCTCCTCCTCCTCCTCCCCCTCCTTCACGATCAGCAAGTTCCTTGCCCCCTCCTCTTCCCCCCCTCGCGCGAAAGCGCGCTTCGGCGCGCGCGCGGGCGGCTCCTGGCAGGCTTCCCGCGTCTCGCCGGGGGGGGCCATCGAGTGGGGACGCCGGGCGGCGGCGACGGGCGGCGCGGCGGCCTCTGGGGGCGTGCTCGCCGGGGCTCGCACGCCGCTCGTGTGCCGCAGGGGGGGTCGCGACTCGGGCATGGCCAGGACCCCAGGTACAGTCGGGGCGCTGAAGAAGGAACCCTTTTCGTTGGGGAGGGGCTCCGCGTTCCTTAAGTGTTTCGCAGCTTGCCTCAGGCTTTCCTCAGGTCTTCGATCGGAATTCGAAGCTTAACTTATGGAACAAAGGGGCCTCGTTCCTTATTTAGGGTCCCTTAGGTCAACGCCCCGACTGTAAGGGGACCCGGTGAGTGGTAGGGCCCTGGAGCCCCTGCATTCAGGGGAACAAGAAACGACATCAACATCAAAGCTCGGAGGTCCGCGCGGATCTCTCGGATCGGCGCTGGAGCCCCCTGGCGGCGCCTCCGGCGCCGCCCCTGGCGCGCTCCGCGCGCCAGGGAGGGGTGTCCAGCGCCGATCCGCGAAATTCGCGCGGACCTCCGAGTTTTTATGTTTATGCGATTGCATGTTCCCCTAGATTTGGCCAGAATCACGAAACCAGGTTTGCCGTAGCGGGTGTCTTCTCGGGTGGCGGCAGTTCGGGTTCGTGAAACGGGGCGGGGGGGCGTCCCCCAGTACACATCACGAAACCAGGTCCCACTAAACCCGGCTCTGCCAACGACCAAATCATGTTCCAACCTACTTCAGCCTTGATCACCAGAAAGACGTTCGAGCGCCAAAGAAGTACCGGAACTCGACGGTCTTCACGTGCCGGGCACTGGGAGACACTCGCCCGCCCGACACTGATTCGACGCTCTTTCGACACTCTTTTGACACTTCTCGTGCCGCAGGTTGGGAGAGGGAGAAGGATGATCAGAGCCCCGAATCATCAGGGGTAACTCGGGTCAGGGCTAACTCGGGTTGCTTTTTTCGGCATGCCGAACCCGAGTTGTCCCGGGCCCGAGCTACTCCGGATAATTCGGGCGTCCAGAGCCCCGAGTTATCACGGGTAGCTCGGGTCAGGGCAAATGTGGGATCGTTTTTCGGGAATTCAAACCCGAGTTACCCCAGGCCCGTGTTACCCCGGATAATTCGGGTGTCCAGAGCCCTGAATCATCAGGGTTAAATCGGGTCGGGGCCAACATGGGTTCGTTTTTCGGGAATCCCATCCCGATTCACCCTTGACCCGAGTTACCCCCGATAACTCGGGCGCCCAAGATGAGGAAGGGTGTTCGCCGTTCGGTCGGCTGGGTTGTATCGCAGGCCGTTGCGTTCGGCTGGTTCGGTTCGGTCGATCACTGCGTCGTCGCCCCGTCGCTTCGCCCTTCCCGGGCGGCGTGCGGCCTTGTCGATGTCGGCCGGCGTCGGTTTCGCTGTCGCGTCGGCCAGCTTTCGGCTGTGATGTCGCCGCGAACGGCACCGATGAGGCGGAGGGGCAGGGGGCGGGTGCGGGGGGAGGGAAGTCGAGGGGCGACTGCGGAAAGGCAGGTGGGGTGAGGGCGGCGAAGGGCAAGGGGGGAAGGGGGGATGGAGGGCCCAGGCGGGGAGGGAGGAGGGAAGGGAGAGGAGGGGAGAGGAGGGAGGAGCGGGCAGGATCAGGAGGACGAGCAGGACGAGGAGACAGCTGGAGGAGGAGGAGGAGGAGGAGGAGGAGGAGGAGGAGGAGGATGAAGAGAATGAGGTGGCGGAGATAGGATAGTTACTCGTGGGAATGAAAAGCGATACTCACTCGGCCTTCCCACTCGAATGCCTCCGGAGCCGTGCATTAAGGCACCATGGACCACACCGACCCATTCTCTTGTGGCTCGTATCGCGCTTGATGCCGGAAGAAAACGCAGAGCGAGTAGTAAGACAGAGGTTGTATCGGCCGTGAGGTGGACGTACGCTTTATCATGCTCTTCTTCTCTTACCCGTTCCCATCCCTATTTGGTCTTCCCTCCTTCCTGTTCCTCCCTGAATTGTCTCTACCAGTTGTCCTTGCGATCAGCTCTTCCTTTCTCGTCGCATCACTAGACGTGCCGGCAAGGCTGGCTGGGCGCTTTGGGACCGTATGGTTTTGAATTCCCAGATGCCCAACAGTTACACAACAGTGGGCGGCCCAGTGTCATGCTTTGTTTGGGGGCCATCTTGGGCCACCTTGGACGCTCTAACCCTCTCGTGAGGCGGGTCCAGGCCCAGAGAGAGGGAACTGGAGGAGATGTAAACCTCTCCCCGAAGGGAAAGCAAGAGGTTTGAACAATTAGCTCCCTAAGCCACCTGCGCCCAAAGGGCTGTTGGGTCTACATAAACGAAGCGTGGAAGGTCAACATGTGATGATCGCCCTCACGCCGCGACCATTCGTCGGGTTATCGCTGTGGTATCATTTCGAATTTTCCGATATGAAACGTAACATTTACAACAGCTGCACGTGTGGCGTGCAGTTCCATGGGGCGTCCATCTGTCAAGGGGGGTGTTCCTGCTATGCAACGAATATGTGCGGGATCTTCTGAGGGTAGAAGTTTCATGGCGCCAGCATCGCAGAGCGGATTTCGATCGGAAAACGATGGGGTGGGCCCGGGGTGTCCTGGAGAATTTCGTTCCGGATTTCGACGTAAATTTCGTGCGGATTTTTGTTGGTCAGGAACGAAGACCAAAAATATTCCACGCGAAATTAATGTCGTTTCTCGCTCGCCGCTTCGGGCAAAAATCCATGCAGAAATCCACGCAGAAAGCCGCTGCAGCACGT